GAGTGGTCGGGTTGGGTGTGCAAGTGCATAGCTGGGCTAGCTATGTCTTCTTCAATACCAACATTCAACGGATGAATGTCGATAGTAGATGTGGGTGCCCGACTATGTGTATCCGCTGGGATAGGAGCTTGATCTTGATTTTGTGCTCCACTCTCACACTCACCATATTTTTCTGCTTCCCTTGCACTCAACCTCTCAGCATTTTCTACTTCGATTCCCTTATCTCCTCCTTCTACTGGAATATCTGATAAGTCTTCCAACATACGATCATAGTCATCAGGTCTGGCTCCAAAATCATCAACATTAAACGATAGAGAATGCAGATTTAGACAAGTCTGTGGAGCTTCAAACTCTGGAAAAATCTCATGAATATTATCAACCACTGCTTCTATTTGAATATTATGTGAAAGAATCGGTTGAGCAGGGTTGTCGGCATCATCATCATCATCATTGTCATTGTCATCACCCTAAGCTGCCTGGTTGTCGGATATTGTATCTTTCGAACTTGAAGAAGTAGAGGAAGTACTATCTGATGAAGTACTATGCTGATCAGAGGCTCCCCGCTCCTCATCACCCCTCTCAATTACATTTTCCCTCATCTCACAGCCCTGTTTAGGTAACCCGTGTTCCTGAACACTCTCACTTACAGCTAAACCCTCTCTCTCAGCTGAGGCATGGGGTGATCCAAGGGTAAGTTCAACCAGTGCTGGCTGAACTATAGGATCTATCACTCGTCTATAGTCTATAGCACACTGAGCCCTCTGATCAGCGAAGGCAAATAGCTCAGGTGGAATCTCCATGATTGAGTCCAGATCTTCAACTTCAGTATGTTGTCGAATTCTAGTCCTGACAAATGTCGGCCCCATTTCACTGTAAGCTCTAGTTGAGATGTCTTCATTTGAGTTCATCATGGCTTTTATGAAAAGTTGCAGAAACCGTTGAAAAGACACGAACTTTCTGACTTTTGACGGAAATCTCTTAGCATTAACGAGCTCGACCAGTTCATTCCATATGATGAGGGCATAATCGTATTTGCGCGTAAAGACTATCCCATGGAAGAACTTTAGAAATGAACTACTGCACGTGTCGATTCTTGCAGTTTTTGACGTTAGGCATCTGTTGAGGATTGAGAATAGTAGATGCCAGATCAACGGTATGAAATGTCGTTTGAATTGAGACGGGTTAGTCAACTCTTGCAAGTATCCTAACCGTTTGATGTCACGGCAGAGTTCGTCATCTGTTACTGTTATGAATGAAATTCTGTGTAAAATTGTATTCGTCTTGAAAGATAAAAGTGTCTATAATTGTGTAAAAATCATCGTGTTTGACTTTTCTTTAGGATAGTTTGACTTTGACTTTTGTGTATAGGTTTGACCCTATATAAAGGGTTATTCTTTATGTAATTTGTGTAGAGCTCAATTGTAAAAATTCATATACGTATAACAGATTTGACCACTTTGACTTTCTCTCTCAATCTCCTTCAAGTTCTTGAAAGCTTAATTTTAGATCTGCAATGGATTATTGAAGATATACAGAAGATTGATCTTAAAGGGACTATCAATTACAAGCGTCTCAAAGCCTGTGGAGCCCGGTCCAGGAAGGCGTAGTATTCTTCGAAGTCTTTTTAATGTCAATCGGCTGACATACTCGTCTACGCTTCCTTCAAAATAGAAAGTTTCTCCGTCTTTGGCCAAAGTAAGTGTACTCCAGAACTACTATAAATATACCATTGGAACTGAGAATAGACAATTGGGTGTCTACGCAGGATTTCTGGAGTTATCTAATATTCGGCAGGCATATCGAAGCTGAATGAATGGTTGTTTGGTTTGATTTCGAGGTATTGGCATTGAGGAAACAAGGTTTCGTCGGGTATAGGTTGGTTTAATGGTTGGGCTTGGTTATTTAGATTGTCAGATCTGACAGAAGGAATGTGAGATTCCTCGTCAGACTGATGTTGATTATCCGTCATTTACCTGTAAAATATCTAAAATATTAGAACCCAAATTAATAATGCAATGCGAATTTCTCTAAATCAAAATAAAAATTTTTTTGAAAGGAAATTGAAAAACTTACAAAAAATTCAAATCTAAAAAAAATAACACTAAAAAACTTTTAACTAAAAAAAATTCTAAACAAAAAGAAACTAAAACTTTAAAAAAATGTAAACTAAAAAAAATAAAACAAAAAAAATTTAAAAAACAAAATATACCTAAAAAAATTCTAAAAAATTCTAAAAAAATTCAACACTAAAAGTAAACCTTAAATACTAATAAAAACAAAAACAATCAAAAAAAATTATTAACCGAATTAGAAATCCGGTCAACAACAAATAACAAAAAAAATCTAACTCAAAACCTATACCGGACAAGTATCAACCGGATTAAGGTTGATCAGAGTAAACTCCGGTCACCTTCTTCGGTGAGAAATCCAGTCAAAACACGAAAGCTGTAAAAAAACCCTAAATCGATCAAAACAACAAAATAAAACCTAAACTAATCCTAAAACTAAAACTAAACAACACATCAACACTAAACCATCTTTATTAGAGTCGATTATAAAGGCTTTAACTCCTTTTAGGATTCAATCGATTTACCAGTCCAAATTTGTTCGATTCAGATTCAAAGTATATTAGATTCAATTAGTCACATTCCAATATGAAGCATAGTCCAAGATTATGAAGTCAATGATTAATACAATTAAAAAAAACATTACTACATGTCATACTACAGTGATGGTGTTGATTGATAAATGTCACAGTATATAATGTTACGGTGAGAATATTGAATGATGAATGTCACTGTATATTATTCTATTGTGACAATATTGATAAAGTTACGTCACCGTATGCCATGATACGATAATGGTTTTCAAGAATATACTACAACGCATGTCATATATAGTAATGGTGGGCATAAAGTGGTTCAAAAAACCCGATCGATCCAAGCCTCGGTTGTCATGTCATTTTGGATATGTTTGTTTCTAAAGAAACCAATCTTTCAATTTTGGTACATAACTTTAATGTTTAAAACATATTTTTGATTGACAAAAAAATCAAAAGAAAAAGAAGTCAGACTAGAACCAGAGTCTAATCTGGTCCGGCTTGCCAAAAAGGCTGAACTTGATTTTCGCCCAGTTTGGATAAATATCGCCCTTAGACTGGTCCGGCTCAGATATTCTGATCTGAACATGGACAATGGATATTTACCCGCTAAATTAAAGAAGCTCGATCTAGAACTATTTCGCGCCCGTCTGCGTATTGATTTGGGTCTTTTTTCCCACTTTCAATAAAATTACAATATTTACTGAAAAAAATAGTCCAACAATTATGTGCTAAAGATTAATAATTACGAAGTTACGGTTTAAAATTTTATGTATTTAGACACCTATTTTTTTGCTTTCTAATTTGAGAAACAATCCAAATTACACGGAAGAAGCATAATAAGTTATGCATGTTTATAAGAGTAAATAACAAAGTTAAAAGCTTTTTAAGTTTTGTTGCTACTAAGCTTCCTTTAACATAAAAAATGAAATTCGTTTTTAACTACTAAAAAGACAAAGGGTTTTGATAGTTCGTATCACAAACAATATAAAGTACCAAGTATATTTTGAAAATTTCGATAATATAACTACTAAAAATTAAACATTTCTTAAACCACTAAAATTATAGTTTTGTTAATAATTAAAATAAGTTAACTAAAAAATTTGTTTAATTAATTGCCATAGGTTATTGATCAAACTATTTTTTTTACTTATGTTATTAAAAAATAAATAACTAAAAAAAATCCTAAAATGGTTATAATTCAATTAAAATCTATCGGAGTTGGTAATTTTAAGAATCTTGAATAGTAAAATAATTAATTAAAATTCATCGGTAATTTTATTGATTTAGAAAACAAATTTACTTTCGGTGTTTATACCGATGAAAAGGACGAAACATTCAATCGGTGATTCTCGTCTTACGAAAAAACCCTTTGTCCTGTATTTTAGATTGACTAGTTGTGTATCCGTGCAATGCGACGGGAGCCGTGAATTTTAACGATTTTGAAGTTTCACTGGATTCATTAGAGAATATTTAACAATGATATAAGTTACACTTAGTCTTTCATATTAATACAATTTGAATAAATAAGAGTTATGGTTCCAATTACAGTCTGTCGATGAAAAAAATTGTATGACAGCTTAAAATCCAATATATTTAAAATCCAACATTTTGTAAACGACTCCACAAATGTATTCGATTTACACCAAGAGTAAAGAATCAAGAGATCGAGAGCAAGACGAGAGTTATATATAGAGCAATTGAATGAGAGATAAATGAGAGATCTTTTAATAACTTATGGTGAATATCAGTTTGAATCTCACCTTGAGGGATGGGGAGAAGACATAGAGGTATGAGAGGGTGAAAGCATGAGTAAAATGTGTCAAAAGTATCTTAGGAACACGAAAAGAAAATGTAATATAATGTGCATTAGTAACTTGTACTATATGTTATTTTAATTGTAGATTAAGATGTTTTAAGATTGAATGCATAAAATAGTAGTACTTAATGTTTTTAAGACTTTTAAGATTTTATATATAAATGTTTAGTACTTTGTGCATTAAAAATTGTTTTTAAGATTTTAAATAAATCTAGATTATAAAATAGTATAGATATAGATATTGATAATTGTTTAGTTGGGTACCTCCTCATCTGTCAATGAAGTCTTTGTTTTATTTTACATATACATACACATCGATGATCGTTGACCGATAAAATAAGTGATGAATATCAAAATCATACATACAATCCCCAATGGAGTTTTCTATTAATATCACAATCCAATAATGCATATTTTCTATCAACCATAATGACAGAGACCAACTATTTAATGCCTTCATTTCTCGTTCAGATCCAAAAGATGCTCAGGTGAGACAATTTGGCTTTAGAAAATTATATTAAACCCACCGTATTTGACCACAACTGCAGAATTTGCAGTTCATGGGATTTTAGATTAAGCTCATTATCTGAATCTTTTAATGGATGTTTATGGTTTCTGGCTATTTTCTTTGTGTTATTTGCTGGTTTCTGATGGAGTTGAGGTCGCAGCCCTCAAAAACCATGAACCAATACCAAATGTTCCACAGCCTTACAGAACAGCATATCATTTCCAGCCTTCCAAGAACTGGATGAATGGTACAACTCCCTCCTTAATTTCAGTTTTCATACTTGTTAGTACTGGTTTCTGTTATCATCTTCATCCATCGATTAATGTTTGTGTTTCGTATTGAATCTTTTTACATGGTCTGATGATCCATTGGTCTACATGGGTTGCTGATGGAATTTGCAGATCCTAATGGTAAAAACACAATCACACACATATGTATATACTTACATATAGATACTTCAACTTGGTTTCTTGAAAGCTAAATTAAATCGACACTAATTTCGGCCTTGTGCAATTGGTTTTTGATGCATTAATACAGGACCAATGTATTACAATGGAGTTTACCATCTGTTCTATCAATACAATCCATATGGTCCATTATGGGGTAACATTTCATGGGGTCATTCCATATCCTATGATCTTATCAATTGGGTTCATCTGGATGTTGCTCTCATCCCTAACGAGCCTTATGATATCAACGGATGCTGGTCTGGTTCCGCCACGATCCTTCTCAGTGGTGAACCTGCAATTCTGTACACAGGCAGTGATACCAATAAACACCAGCTCCAAAACTTGGCATTTCCAAAGAACCTCTCCGACCCTCTACTAAGTGAATGGATAAAATCGACTCAAAACCCTTTAATGAGTCCTCCTGAGGGAATCGACCCATCATCATTTAGAGATCCATCGACCGCTTGGATAGGAACAGATGGAGAATGGAGGGTCGTGATTGGAAGTGAGATAGACCATCACGGGTTGGCAATTATTTATAAAAGTAAGGATTTTAGCCATTGGACTAAGACTGCGAATCCGTTACACTTTTCTAACAAAACGATAATGTGGGAGTGTCCAGATTTCTATCCCGTTAGTCTTAATGGGAAGGATGGTCTTGATACCTCGGTCCAAGGAAAGAACGTTAGGCACGTTCTTAAGGCAAGCTTTAATAGCCGTGACCATTATGTAGTCGGGAATTATGATCCGAAAACTGACCAGTATGAAGTCGATACAGACTTCATGGATGGTAGAGCGCGATTACAGTATGACTACGGGAGGTTTTATGCTTCAAAATCGTTTTACGATGGTGCGAATAAGAGAAGGATATTATGGTCTTGGATTGATGAAGGTGATAGTGAATCAGATGACATCAAGAAAGGGTGGTCTGGCCTTCAGGTGAATTTTGGCTTGTTTTTACCGTCTGTTAGCTGAATTTGGTCACGTTTCAAGCAGTCCAGATCACTTGAAACTGTAAACTCCAGTCGATTCAAACTATATATGTAACTAACAATGAGTTTCCAGTCGATTCCTAGGAGCATCTTGCTGAGTGAAAATGGAGATCGGTTGGTACAGTGGCCCGTCAAGGAACTTGAGAAACTACGTACACAAAAAGTGCAATTCGAGAATAAAGAACTCGAGGGCGGATCCGTTTTCGAAATTTCCGGCATCACAGCTTCACAGGTGACTTGATATAATCCTTGTAACACTAATTAGCCATATAAAGATCACCATAGAGGACTTGTTTGTTTTTCAAGTTCAAACAAAGCTCTTCACAAATCCAAAAAAAATGTGGGTTTAGATGTTGATTAGTTAGATCGTAGTTATTGTATTCGTAGGACCTTTTATCAAGCTTGCACAACAACAAATTAAAATATATGCCTAAAATTTCAAAGTGTCAGAAAAAGAAAACTTGATTATGTTTGTGGACCAACACCAAAATGTGTTTATCTAAAATTATTACAATAGATTTATAAGACGTTTTTAAAATACATTGTTATATTAGTTATAAACACTTGTGGTTACGTGACCTTTTGACATGATTTGAAAAATGATCCTATAAACACCAAGTGTCCTATAAAAAATGGGTTTATAGGACATTATCTTATGAAATAGCTAATACGACACTTTATATCAAAAGCGTCTTAAAAACGTCCAAGAACACATCTTATTAACCTATTGTAACACTTTTAGATATAAATTATTATAGTTTGGTCCTATAAGTTTAAGTTCTTTAAATCATTCGATTAGGATGCTTAGGCAGTATTCCAATTTTGTTGTAGTATTGTCTAATAATAAGAAACAAACTATAGAATCAATAACCATATATCGATCTGAACTCTTGTTACAGGCTGATGTAGAAATCACATTTAGTTTGTCAAATCTCAACGAGGCTGAGCTGTTGAATACAGAAGTAGTTGATCCCCAAATTCTTTGTACACGAAAGAATGCTTCGGTGAATGGGAGCTTTGGGCCTTTCGGCTTGCTGGTTTTGGCTTCAAAGGACCTGATCGAATACACTGCTGTCTTCTTTCGTGTTTTTAGAGGTGGTAACGATTTCCGAGTACTCATGTGTGTTGATCAAAGCAGGTTAGATGACCTATCATATAGTCAGCCCACGTTCAGAACCAACCCCTTTTACACACGTTAATTACCATCGGTATTAACAAGACATTACAGCAAAATAGGCTTTATAGAAGTCTAAGATGTTTAAGCAAGACTTCATAGAATCAAACCAGAAAACATCTTATCTAAAAGTGTTAAAATAGATTTGTAGGACGATTTTAGCGTTTTAACAAGTTTTTAGAATAAATTGTCATATCGGCTATTTCATAGGACACTTTTCAAAAGTGCCCTGTAAATAGCTAATACGACATTTTATCTTAAAAGCGCTCTAAAAACTTGTTAAAACATATGATACTTTATTTTAAGTGTTTTCTATAGAAACTTGTTGACACGCTCAAAATTGTCCTATAATTAAACCTAATTTTACACTTTTAGATAAGTTTGGTCATATAAACTTAAGTTTTATAAAGTATTCTATAAGGAGCTTAAACATTTTAGACGTCCTATAAAACCAATTTTGTTGAAGTGAACTTTTTGGTTGTGCTATATATTCGTACTTGTTTCTTCTTAAAACAGGTCTTCTTTGAGATCAGATGTTGATAAGACTATCTATGGAGCTTTTATTGATCTAAATCCTCGTCATGCAAAGATTTCACTGAGAAGCTTGGTTAGTTTCTTAACCATTTTCGAAACTTTATATGAGATTCATTCAAGTAAAATTGGGTTTATAAGACGCTTAAACATAGCATACCTTATAGGAACTAAGTTTATTGGAGCAAATCATAAAATGTCTTATTTAAAAATGTTACAATAGTTTTATAGGGCGTTTTAACAAGTTTTTTAGGACGCTTTTCAAATAACGTATCGTATTAGTTATTTAATAAGACACTTTTGAGAAGTGCCCTATAATCTCTTCTTTTTATATGACACTTTTGAAATAGTGTTGTATAAAATGGCTAATACGACACTTCATTTAAGTAAAAATGTTTGTTAAAACGCCTAAAAAGAAGTCCTATGAACCTATTGTAACACTTTAAAGAAGTTTTTTGGTTTGGTACTATAAACTTATAAAGTATTTTATCAGAAGACTTGGATATTTTAGACGTGTTATAAATTAAACAATTTAATTTTGTGGTTGTATGTTAATTAATATTGCACTAGTATGGGAACCGTGCGTTGCACGGTAGCATGAGTACTTTGATTAATAATCTGAAGATTGTCTATATAAATATGTATTAGTTGTTAATAGAATTATCAACAAATAGTATTTAAATAATTCTAAAAAGTTAAATAAAATATAATTAGTGAAATTTTGATATATCTATACTATCTATACTATATTATAAAGCATTTGACTAAAACTCTTAAAAACTCTTAAAACTCTTAAACTCTTAAAAACTCTTAAAACTCTTAAACTCTTAAAAACTCTTAAACCCCTTCATCTCTATCCGATCTCGTCTCATATCTGAATTCGTGTAACTAACTGCAGATAAACACAATCAAATGCATGATAAATATCTCATTTTAAATATAAAAAATATAAAATATAATTAGAATAATCATTGATTTCTAACAGAATACTTAATTATTATCTTTATAAAATGTTATATTATTAAACCAAAAATAAATTATTTCATTATTAAACT